CATTTTACAGTAGAATATGGCCGTTTCTGAACATTTGAGGGCTCTAAGTCACATAATTGGAGGGGTTCACACATTTACTTTCTGGGTAAAAAAGGAAAAGAATGACTGACTCAAAACATTTTTTTACTTTTTTATTTCTTTATTATGTCATCAATGATGTGTTCATAAGATATTTTTTCTGGTAATATTGACACAGATATATAAAAGCTATGTATATACTGAGAATATATATATACATGCAGCAGTGTCAAAAGTCAGACACTATCCTTGATTTATTTAATTTCTGGTTATTGTTTTTATATTTATTTATATGTTATTCTTATATCAATTTTTCAGCATGAGGAAAAAACAGGAAGCATATCTAACATAAGATTACAGATTATTAAGTAAATTATTAAGTTTACTTAATTAAGACTATTAAGTAAATATAATCAGTGTTTTTCTGTATGTAGTGTGTCTACCTTTTCCCTTTATCACAGCCTCCATTCTTTTCAGGAAACTTGTATTCAGTTGTTCATAGAAATCTGCTGGGATATTTTTCACACCGCCAAAGTTCAGTCTTAGAGGTTGGTTGCATTTTCTGCATCTCACAATCAAAGTAACCCCAAACACATTCAGTGATGTTCTGAGAAAACCAGAAGCTTCTTTGTTTAATATGAAGAATTTTCTTATGTTTTGTCTGTTTCCTTTTCTCAGTAAGGGCTTCTTAACAGCTGCACATCCTTTCAGACTCATAGTGTTGAGTTGTCATCTCACAGTGGAAGGATGGACAGAAACACCTGAGGATTTTTTTTTTGAGTGGATCTTGATTTTCACCCCTCTCTCAAAGATGAAAGCTTTAAGTGCTGTTTATTTTATGGTGACAGTTTTAGTGGTCTACCAGGTCTTACACAGTCGTCAGGATTCCAATTTTCTCTCCTTTAATAATTTTTGAACTCCAGTTGTGGAAACTCCTATTTTTTCCCTTTTTTCCTTTGACTTTCTCCTTCCTTAGACAGTTGAATTATCTCATATTTCATCTCCTCTGAAATATCTCCTGAAAATGAATAACTTTAAGGCCACTTTGACAGGAAATTAGATAAATGAAGGGTGAATTCTGAAGGCCCCACAAGGTTGCTGAATTTCAAGAGTGCCAATTCTGCATCTTATGTACTGATTTCCAAACACACTCTAATATGTATGCATGCTTTTCTGAATCCATATAATAGAGGATTTACTGATATGCTTACTTAGTACTTATTGAAGTCATCCCTTGCTAGAATCATGGCAAAGTTCTCTCCTGTGATGGTTCATCAGGTTGGTCTTAAACCATAGGATCCTTTTGAAAGATCTATGTCTGGCTGAAATACAGCCTCACAAATCAGCCATTCGGGGAATTTTTTGCCATAATATCCTGGAAAGAATTATTGCTGCTATTGCTTTATCTTCTATATGCTGCATCTTCACTGGGGCCCCAGCAAAAGCAAGACTACAGGATCTTCTACTACATTTTACTTTAGGTACAATACACTTAGCAGTATATACATCCATCCTTTTAAACAAACATATGGCCAAAAAGTCCATGCTTGGTTTTATGTGACATCAGTATCCTCTCAGTAAAAGTTTCCTCTAAAACTCTTCAGAACAGCATCTAATAGTGTCTTTTAGATAAACGTCCCAAAGACAAACCGATCTTTATATTTCTTTGGACTATTTGCTGCTCTAATCAGGACTGTGTCCTCTTCTCTTTAAGTTACAGTGGGGGCATTTTTTTAAACTACTGTTTTGACAGTATTATTGGTATTTTGAGGAGCCACTTATTTTCGTGCCCATTGTTTGACCAGCCTCATTTCTGCTTTTAGTTCTTTGACCTTCCTCATGCTGATGGATGTGAGCTTTTCCCGGGGAAACAGGAAGTCTGTAAAGTACACACATTAGTAACTGAAGACAAACTGAACTGAATCAAATGTAAATATATTATGTATTTGATTGCTTTTGATGGGATCTTGATGAGAGCCATTAAACAATAAAGCTGTTTTAGAGAGATAGTTGTAGGCGTGCTGTGTATTGAAAAAAATGTTTGCTTTAAGTGTTGTTCAAATCAGGTGCTCATTGATGCTAAGGGAAATTTTTTAAAAATTCATGGAAAAAGAGAGAAAAAACTCTCTAAAGCACTCCTTAAATTAAAAATATCATAGCTGGACTGTAAAAATGCCCACGTGTAGAGTCTCATGCCTTCTTCAGGGCATAATTATTGGTTTGGAGAGTTTTCTCTCTCTTGTTCCTCATAAAAACAATAAAGCCTTGAAATAATTTTTAAAATGTTCGAGTATATGATTTTTATTATCAGTGTGGTTTATTTTATGAGAACTTTGTCACTTTCATCATATTTGCCAGTAATTGTAGTCAAATCTATATGACCAGCGTTTTTCCATACAAAAGAAAATGAATGTAGAACAGAGCGGGGCTGGCTGGCACCCATTTGGCAGCAAAAGTAAGCTGAACACTGTCGCTAAAAGACACTTTCAACGTCAGAAAATATTTCCTAGTATTAGCGCATTCATGACTACACTCATGAACATGGGACTGACTGGTATGTGTTATGGGGATGGATGTTAAAAATGCAATGTTAAAAAGCTATAGTTTCACAGAATAACAAATATAAGAGCTTATAATTAAAAGCAACCCTCAAATAATAACTTTCGGTAACAACCAAATTACACTTCTGAATTACTTAAACATTAGGAACATTACATATATTGTATCACTGGCTTGTATTGAAGAACAACAGTATGTATTTAGTAAGTAAGTGTTTGTAGAGCACATTCAAAACCAAAATGCTGTGCACAGCTGATCCGTAAAATATAGTCTAAAGCCGACAGCAGTAAATACATAAAAGCACAAGGTTTACACCAAATACACAAAGGATCACAAACCTCCACAAAGTTAAAAAAGCTACCCAATAAAAACAGGTTTTTAATCTGCTTTTAAGAGAGGAGACAGAGGGGCAGACCTAACGTCCAGTGTTAGGTGCTTCCAAAGCTTCAGTGCTGCGACTGCAAAAGCTCTGTCGCCTCCGAACTTCAGCTGAGACCGTGGAACAGCCAAGAGCGGCTGATCGGACCTCAGGAACATGGAATAGAGTAAGACTGGAGCAGCTTTTTGATAAAAGAGGATGCAGCTACATTTTGAATTATTTTTAGTAATATTAACCATATATTTTTAAACAAAATAAATAAAATACAATAGAAGTTTCAAATAAAAAACATGTTTAATACATAAATAGTTGAATAAACCATTATAATAAACAAAACATAAAAAATAATTCTATTGTAATATACTCTTTTTATATGATATTTATGATTATATGATATAAATGATTTTTTATTATATATGGTTTTTATTTCTACTAACTAAAATGAATATATAAAATACAGAGAAAAATATTTCTGTGTGAAATATTTCTAGAATTTATTACACAAATGTCAGGGAGACATTTTTGTTTTGTTTTCACCCAGAAAAATAAAAAAATTATGCCCACCTTAATGGACTGTTAGCATACAGAACTCTGGACAAAGTGGGTGAATGTTGTTGAAGAGGACAGACATGTTTATGTTACATTTTTGTGAGAGCTCCTCTACTGACCCAGAAATAAACACCCCGCTCTCCCCTATTTCAGCTGGGCTAGACGTGTACGCTTGAAAATGATTACAGAAAGAGAATTGGTGTGTTTGAGGAAATATAAATAAACGAATAAACAAACACATTTTTACTTTAAATACAGTGAGTGACGATCACTTTAGATGCTACAGGTTCCCTGTGTTTACCCTGTACGACACACACACACACTGTTCCAGGCTTTCATCAGCGATGAAATGTTTTTGAACAGATTCTTATTTGTTAATACAGATATTGAGAAAATACAAAATATAAGCATTTTTGTTAATGGGCTACATTAATACTATATGTGGTTTTTATAGTACATTTCTTGACGGAGAGTTTTATGAAGTTCTGAAGTTATACACCTCACTGATGGTCAAAAAATAAATGAAAAATAAGGAAAGTCTGTCCTTGAATTTTGTTACCCGTCTCCCTTTCCATCCCATTTAGATAACATATCAAAGTGATAGAACCACACATATATATACATATATATATATATATATACATACTATATATATATATATATATATATATACCCACACATTGAAATGTCTGACTGTTTCCTTGGTCGTATCGGGGGTTCGTCATGTCCAGCCAGGAAGCTGGAAAAGAGCTGCTTTTAGAAATGTGCATGTTTCAGTGGAGGAACAGACTAATGACTGCAGAATTACACACGAAAGTTATTTCATATTCTCAAACGGGCAGTCTAAAGACAGTCTAAAGACAATCTAAAGACAGTCTAAGACGAGAGCCCACCATCCCCCTGTCTATCTGATTGTGTGTGTGATGTATTCTCTTTCTAGGGCTGCGTCCTAAACCGCACACTGAATCACTCCCCTCTATTATAAGGCCCTTCATTAGTGTAGTGTGAGTGGTGCAGTGGTTAGTGTGATGTTTCGGACGCAGAGGACTGAAAGGGAGTTTGTGCTCGTCTGCAGCGCCCTCTGGTGGAGAGCTGGAACAGTCACACAGTGAGAGAGCGGCTGAGTTAATGAGCTGCTCAGACCAGATCAGTCTGTAGATGGCGCTGCTTCATCACGGTGGATTGTTGCTCTGTCGAGATCTCAAGTTTTAACCACATTTATACTTGTTTACAGTGTCACGCGGGCATTTCTTGTACATAAAAATAAACTCATACCGATAAAACAGCGACTAGACCAAAACCCAGAGAACAAGAGGAAGAAACCAGCGACTAGACGAGAAAACTGCAGGGCTTTTATGGCAATGAAATCCACATATTTAGTGCTGCTACCTGTTGAAGATGCTGTGTGCTGTGTCTCGGGGTTTAATGGCCTCTCAGTGCTAACTGAAGTCCGCTGACTTTCTCATGTGAACGCGTCAGGAAGGGGAGGGCGGGAGAGGGTGAGGAGCTCCACAGGAACAGAAAAGATCATGTTTGGGCGGAGAATTCACAGCAGCAAACACAGGACAGACCATTAGTCTGCAGCGAAAAACGAAAGTTTTTATCGTTTTCTCTGTCTTCGTTGTTGTGTGTTGTTCCTGTGTGCAGTTTGGCGGGAAATCAAGGTTAAGACAAAGTGCGCTGCACTGAAGAAAATCAGACCGTCTCCTGAGACGTGAGGCTGCTGTTCTGCTCTATTGTCTGTCGGTGAGTTCGGTTTTAACATCTTACCGAAGCTCGATGTCTCGGTAGAAACATCATAGTGTAACGTAGCTGCCATTTTTGTGTGTTCAAGCCGTTGTTTTGGTTTTGCCCCTATTGACTTGTGGGGGTTGAGGAGGGGAGGGAGAGAGAGAGGGGGGGGCTACTTCCAGTAAAACACATGCCTGCTGGTTTGCGCACGAACGCCGAATTAACGTTAACGTATCAGACGTTGACACCAATTAGGCTGCTTCTCACACTTACACAGACAGGCCATTGTAGCTTCCAGTTTAAAGTTCATTAAACCCATAATGAACAGTCTGTAGCCTTTTTTGGACTATAATTCTCTTAAATAAGCTGCGTGAATTGCTATTATTAAGCCGACACATCATACAGAATCATTTTTTAAAATAGGCCTGTGGTTTCTGCAAGTTTTCCACGTGTTTCCTTGCTGTGAGGCCCTGATAGCTGCTTTTTATTTTTAATCTCTAACGAAACCCTGGTGGGAGGCTGGCCACACCCACCGCGCTGACGTCATGGTCGTACAGATTCTTGCGTGTTATGCAAGTGAATACGAGCAGTGTATAAGCTGAATGGAGGGTTACCAGCATCTGGGAGTCTCAGTCTAGTTCTGCTTAGACAGTCTTACAGCGTATGTAGCACCGCTGGGTGTTTCGTAATGTAGTTTTTCCCCACATAGTTGACATTTCTTTTGCAAATTATTACAAAGCCTCTGTTTCCTCTTTGTAAAGTTTTGAACAACATGGGCCAGGCTGTGATTTGAATCTGTTTTGCTTCAAGGCATATATTTTAGATGTTTTTACAATCTCTCTTGAAGGCAGCATGAACTGAAATGGCTTATTTGACTCTTCTGAGGTCCTTCTTTGTCTAATAGTCCATGTCCTTTATATGTTTCATCTCCAGCTCCCAGATTTGGGGGAGAAGTCAGCTGCCCTCCAGCCACTCCGCAACATGTCGGCACCAGGTAAAGCGCTTTTCCTGCCTACTAGGCCTGCTTGTAACTGACCATACTTGTTTTTTTCTGGAGTTAACACAGCATGGGTGTGGAGGGAGCTTTTAAACCAAACTGACAAGGTTTGGATTGATTAAGGTGAGGTCACTGTGACAGGACCATGCAGCCACTGAATTATTCATGGGATATTGTATTTAATGTATTCAGTTTATCAATTGGAGCATGAAGCCTTTAACTCTAATCATCTATTCATGTCTGTGTCCACTACCAGAAAAGACATTTCATCGCTTGTGGGTAGTTTAATTGTACTTTGTGGTCGTCCACCGCAAGCTTGTGCAAACGAATCTGCACCACTGCTGCCTCATACTGAAGCTCAGTGCTATTGCTGCAAGAATACCTCAGATTACAAAGGAGCGTGTTTGAATCTTTGGGAAGCACTGAGATGACAGCAAAGTTATGTAGGCTGAAACAGTTGTCCTCTAACTCTTTTATTCCATACGTATCCCTTGAAGAACCATCTTTTAAAGCCAATGTGAATTGGAAAATGTATTTATCGTGATGTATTATGAAGGGTCTCTTTTCTCTTAACAATAGGTGGAGGTGGTAGTATGTGAACTATGATATTCATTTGTTAATAATATTTTTCCCCGCCCGCTGGCACACAGTGATGTAAAGGAAAGTCAAAAGACGTTGTCGATGTGGGCGCAAGTCATTTATTTTCATGGAAGATTACAGTAAAACAAGAATTTTGTCTTTGAAGTGAAGTGATATGATCAGTCCCACCTAGTATGATGCAAACAAAGAAGATTAATTAGATCTTTTTTGATTTCAAGTTGACTTTAAGTAGTACTCTTCTGAGGAACATTTTACAGTTATTGTGTTCCAGTGAACTTACTTGGTCCTCACATTACTCTTAACTAAACCCTGAAGGCAGATTGACTTTTGACAGAAGCAAGCCCATCATTTACACATTATAAAGGAAAACATAAAACTGATTTCAGCTTGAAACAAGGCAACCAACACCACTGAGCTCTCTCTGTCCATCACCAGTCAGAAAACAGCTCATCCCTGGACTGCATACTGTTGTTGCCTAGACAGTCAAGTGACTTCCTAAACCCCATTAGTGCTCATGTTAGGAGCCATTGTGTGTTTCTCAGGGGAGCTCAGTAACCTGATGTGACTGCAGAATTCTTGGCTCAGCGAGCACTGAGCGGACAAACACAATTTTGTGTCATAGGTGTTTGTGTTTTGAAAAAGATTTGAATACAAGATGTTCTAGACCTCATTCTTAGCTATTTCGACATTTTCAAAATACGTATTTGCATCGAATTCTCAACTTGGCCAACCATAGGTGTGTTGAAAATAGTTTCCCAAGCTGGTGGTAAAAACATCTGATTTCTGATTATTTTCCGGTGTCAAAATCTGCCTGAGTTAAATGCAAACACATTTAGACACTGCAAGCCAGTCTTGATTTTCACATATATGGATCATTCTGTCATTGCGGTGGAAAATAGTGTCCCACAAATTTGAATCCATGAAAATGAGCTCGAAATAAGCATAAAGTTGATGTCTGTGTTCTTTTTTCTATTCCTATATTAACCAACACAAATGATGATAATTCTTCTTTTTGAAGTATTATTTTCACATGAAACAACAAATTTGGTGCCTGTCTTTCAGATATTATTTGTAGAAATCCATTAAAATTGTCTGTCCTATGTTACAATTATTTTAAATGTAATAATATTTTGAGAAATCTTGTCCCATTATTTTTTTATCAGTAGTGTTACAAAAATATAAAATGTTACTTTAAAAAGCAAGAAAGGTTGTTTTGGCTTCTTGATTGTATATTTTAAAGGACTTAAAGGAAGAAAGACTTACTCTGAGAAGTTCATGATTAGTGAAATCTTATATTTCTGATCAATTTTGCTAAAATGCAGACTGCTTCATGTGTTGCAAAAAGATTGTCAGTGGTGTTTAAAATTCAAATAAAATGAATTTGAATAAAATAAAATAACATGAATGCAACAGCTCTAATTTTCTACATACAGTGACTTTAAAACGAAAGTGACAGTTGACTACAGTTTAGAAAAGCTTAGAAAAGCGTATTTTTGTAACTTTGTCAGTTGTGCCACAGTCAGCAGTGTCACAATTTTGTTGTTCAATATAAAAGGCCGCAATTTACACTTGGATCACGTATCAACTTGGTCACTGGAGTTTTAAACTTTTCTTAGTTGTGTAAGGGTTCCTACGTATTCTAATAGCTTCTTCAGTTCCCTAATTTGGAACCAGTTCTTTGTTGTTCTCTCACAGTACCTCTCCTCCTGTCTGCATATTTTAAACCCCCCATAAACACACACACACACACACACACACACACACACACACACACACACACACGCTGATGCTCAATTCTGTTTTGCACTTTCAAATAATATTTCAGTGTTTGCTGCATCTTAACAAAGGCAGCTCACAGTAATACATTTGCTGAGTTTACTGATACGTCCATTTTTCACCATGCTGAACAGGTTTCCTTATATCTGTTTTAGTCCAACTATCAGCAATAGTAGTGATGCACAAGTGGTGCACTTCCTGTGTCTGGTGTACAATGCCCTGTTGTTCATATATTAATTGTTTAAGAATTATTTATTATTTATTCAGTTTGCAGTTTACTGTTTTTGGGCTTGTTTGTAATCAACAATCAATGTCATTTTCCAAGAGATGGAGCAATTTTACATCAGATATATTGCAGAGTTACAAAATATATCCTTAGGTACTGTGTCACTGTTTGAATAAACACTTGTGCAGAATTCTGTTCTGTTTATTAGTGTTTAAAATAGTGGTAACTAAACAGATTATTCAAATATAATCACTCGTCCATCCATGTATTGTAGTGACACGATACTACGCGACCCTCTGATACGATGCAATATTTTTTTTTGGCTTTAGAATCCCATCACTGCTGTATTGCTTATGTTTCCAGGGATGGAAAAAATGCAAAGAAATTATACTTAAGTGAATACAATAAATTCATGTGCAAAGGAACTCAACTGATTGGCAAGAGAAATAGAAAAAATCCCAGCAAAAGTAAGTTTTTTAACCCCTGCATGGTTTCTTTTTTGTTTTGTTTTTTCACTTGTTTCATCAGGTTATCAATCTCCAAACCAGCCTCCATACCCTATGCCCCAGCCAGGTGGCTACTCAATGCCCCCGTACCCTGTAGGAGGTTATGGAGAGCCTGGGCAGGCCCCACCCGCAGGATTCCACATGGGTTATGGGCAAGGTCCGGATCAACCAATTATGTACCAGCCTGCCCCAGTCAGTCCACCACAGCACCCGGGCCAAGTGCCCATGCATGCCTACGGGGGTAACTATCAACTAAGAAATGCTGACATTCTGCTGACAAAGTCACTCAGAAAGGTTTGATATGAAATGTTCCGTTCTGAAGAAAGTGATGGTGGTAGGAACCAGACATCTGAAGCACTTATAAACTAAAAGCTACATCACAGAAAGTTATTGCATGAAATGGTTACAGATACACTGCCTGGTACCTGGGACAATAAGATTTTAGTCTAAAATATATTCTTAAAATTTGTTATTAATGCAAAATTACTGTATATTTGCTGAATTTAACATTTTGGGGAAAAATAAAACATAAAATGTGGCTTGTGCAAAAAACATTTCATGCTTGCTAATTTGTATGTTTTACTGTTTTCTGATAATGTTGATCTCAGCAAATAAATAGAAATTATGCAGTAAAATTAGGGGAAAATTACATAATTGAGTTTTGTTCCCTGTAAAAGATATGTTAACTTATTTTCACTTAGAAAATAAACAGAACATGTAATTTCACATTACATTTTCCATGTGACTGTGCCTATAATCTAGGCTTGACTTCATCTGTCATTACGGTTTGCAGTGTTAGTCACTATAACTACTGTGGTGTGTAAATGTGAAGATCAATTCATATGAAACTCACTTTTCAGTTTTAATTCATGTGCCTTTTTATGTGAAACTCATCCTTTTACTTAAATACTCCCTCACATTCTGCTGTTTTTTGTGTTTTGAGGTCCTGTAGCTCCGCCTGCCTCCGGCCCTGTAGCAGCACCTGTAGCAGCACCTGTAGCCGTGCCTGTGGGAGTACCTCCCGGTCTGGAGTATTTAACACAGGTAACATTTCTCTGCTTTCTTGTGTTTCCCTCTCCTTTCCATGTAGTCTCTAAATAACCTTGCCTGATTCCTTTAACATTTCAGATTGACCAGGTCCTGATTCACCAGAAAGTGGAGTTGCTGGAGGGTGAGTTTGTTTTTACCAGGTTGAGCTTGCCTGTGTTTACTGTAAAGAGGAGTATCAACAAGGTGAGGAATTTTTTTCAGAGAAAAAAACGAGAAAAACCTCTGAACATCATAATGGAAAAATAGCTTCTTTATTCTTGAGTAAGGTTGAATAAAAGTTCTTATTCATCAGTTATATGTTTTGAGAATCATTGTACCTATTTGTGTCATAGCGTTTATCGGCTTTGAGACCAACAACCAATATGAGATTAAGAACAGCATGGGCCAGAAGATCTACAAGGCCAAGGAGAAGAACGACTGCTGCACGCGGAATTGCTGTGGCTCGCTGAGGAGCTTTGACATGAAGATCAAAGACAACTCGGACCGAGAGGTCATACGGCTCATCCGACCTTTCCGCTGTGCCACCTGTTGGTGCCCCTGCTGCCTGCAAGAGGTACGCATGTGTATAAAGTCCTTATAGGAAAGTCATTGGTGGCTGTCTTGGGAACAACCTTGGGCGGTTATTTCCAGCCATAGACCAGGTTTCAGTATAGTTGAATGAGGAAAGTTCTACAGTGCAGTGTGTTTCCAGTCAAAACAGCCAAGTACAAGTTATTCATTTTTTTCCAGGAGATATTTCTGAGGAAATTAGATATTAAATAATCCACTTGCATAAGAAAGGGGAAAGTCAAAAAACAGGCATTTACAAAATTGGAGTCCAAAAAATAAATAAAGGTTTTAGAGAAATATAACTACTAACAACCAAGTAAAACCTGATAGACCACCAAAACTGTCACCAGTAACTATAAACAGTACTTAAAGCTCTCATCTTTGAGAGAGAGGAGAAAATCAAGCTCCACTCTTGCATCAGATCTAAAAACATTCACTGGTGTTTCTGTCCATTCTTCCACTGTGAGAAGACAACTCAGCGCTATGAGTCTGAAAGGATGTGTAGCTGTCAATATATTATATTTAGTTGTTGAGGTTTCTGTGTAATTGTCTGTGAAATGTAAGTTTTTTCGCAGTATTGTGTAAACTCAAAAATGACATTTCAAAAACATGTCTGTAATCGCTGGTAAAATCTGACAACAATCGCATAAATAGTTTGTGGTGTTTGCCTCACTGTTTAAGCCATTGTGCATTAACATATTTTCACAACAAGAGTAGCTTTTTCACTCTTACACCTGTACCAACAAGTTTGTTGGCTCTTTATTAACGGGCGGGACTTTCCTTAATACAGTAACCATTGAGTGTTACCAGTTGAGCTCTATGGTAACATGGTAGTAAATGGTAACACCATTTGCCATGATGGGCTATTTCATTCATATTTCAGTTTTCTGTCTCCCTCTCCAACTTTTATAGTGTCCCTGGGTTGAGCGAGTGATGTTCTGATGGGTTCTTTGTGGAAATCATATTTGGTTTGGGTTTAGTAGTTGTATCTGATGTTTGATGCAGCAGGATTTCACAGTAACCTGGTTAATCTTAGCCCAATACAAATGCTCTTCAGTATGAATGATCTATAGCTCTTCTCCTATTGGATTGCCTTTGCTTTAACTTTTGTCTAAACTTACCTGGCTAACAGAAATCCTCCTTAGACTTACTCTGAGGCTTTTTGGTGGTAAAGAAAAGTGCACCTTAGCCTAAATGGCTTTGCAGTTTCCTCAATGCTTATTCAGTGTTGAATGGTGATTTGCTTGTGTAGGTGTTTTGGTTAGCCTTGTACTGTCTTGTTGGTAGCGATGGTGTTAGAATGTATAGTTATGATGTCCTTTGTGCATGCAAACCTCACTTCCCTGTGGTATTCAGTGATTTCTGCTTTCTCGTCTGTTCTTCATGAACTCAGAATCAGAATCACTTAATTACACTGTGTGTTAACCATACGAGAAATTTGTCTTGGTGAGTGCGCACGTGTATGACGTGCAACATATTGAACAGACTAGACTAGCACACAGACGAGTAACAGACAAATCAAATTAAAATAATTAATAGAAAAGAGTAATAAAGGGCCAGTGTGAAAGAACCTAAAGAGATGTGTGAATATCTGTACCTATGCCGATATTAATATCTATACATACATAGGTCTAAGAAGACATATGCTATAATAACAGCTGAACATTACAGAATGATATGAACAATGGAAAAAAATTGTACGGTTGTGCAAATAAACATTATACTGTAGAAGGAGTTAAACTGTAATTCAGTAAGTGTGGTTTATTAGGTTCAGTTTAAATTTAAAGCGTAAGGTTTCTACTGTGGTTAATAAGTGCTACAACCCTGGGGAGAAAGCTGTTAGCATGTTGAGCAGTGCTGGTTTTGATAGCCCTGAATCTTCTACCGGAAAGGAGTGGCTGCTGTTCTCACCTTGGTTTTAAAATGTGTCACAAAAAACTTAAGGCAGCTTAGCCTTTGTTTATCATGTGAAACACTTTGGCTTTGTTACTGTGTGTCAGTTCTCATCCTCAGCTCACAGCCAAACAGGAAAGCCAGTCAGGATGTCTGACTTTTACTAAAGCAGTTGTACACCCATTCCCGCAAACGCTATTTATGACTGCACAGCATGTTTCTGGCAGTTTAGCGGCTGAAGGTCAGTCTATTTTAATGTGTGCATGTTCACATGACATATGGCACCCTGACATGCTACAAACAGACATCAGCATTCCTCTCTGAACTGCTGCAATATTTTGAAGTCCCAACTAGAGATGAAACGGTAATCGGTTTCACGGTAAACCGCGGTAAAATTAATGACGGTTAGTAGTACCGTTTGAACTTTAAAGTATCGTTAAAACCGCGGTCGATTACCGCGGTGTGAAAAACTCGCTTTACAGAGTCAAACAAAGGCAGAATTCAAAGAATCATCTCTCAGACGCAGCTCTGTGTGTGTGTGTGTGTGTGTGTGTGTGTGTGTGTGTGTGTGTGTGTGTGTGTGTGTAGAGGGGAAGGCGGGGGGTGGTGAGAGGGAGAGAAGAGAGAACATGGCGGAATGTAGTGACAGAGATTCGGAGATATTTCAGCCTTCTATGAAGACCAAGTCTGGTCTTGTTTGGTCATGTTTTGGGTTTTATAAGGATGCAGAAGGAAAGTTAATTGAAGATGACCACCCTGTCTGCAGAACAGGCCGAAAGAAAATAGCGGCGAAAGGGGGCGACACATCAAACCTTAGGAGTCATCTTCGCGACCACCACCCGCTACTTTTTAGAGAACGCAAGGTTAACTTTAACGGAGAAGTCTGTGGGGACTTGGAAATAGAAGAAATGTCATGGTTTGTGTGGTTTAACCTATGCTTATGGTTCGTTAATAATATAAAATGAAGCTTTTAGCGTCAAAAAAAAACAATCGGTGAATCAACTGTGAATCAAAACTAAAGCTTGTAACACATATTTCTGTGGAGCAGAGTCTCCAAAATGAGCTCTGAGTTAACGAGACGCTGCAGAGGTTCAATCTGCACAGCGCCCCTTTCTCGCTTGCTGTGTTTACTGTCTGAGAAGAGAATAACTGTCTCAAATCACTCAGTGTCCCCTACGTAGAGCGCTACTGTTCAAACAAACACGATCATCATTAACAAGCAGCTGAGTTTTAAACAGGGAATTTGTAACCTGTTGTTAATGTTGATTATAGATGACTTAGTCGAACATTTCCTGCACTCTTTGGGTGAAGGATTTGCTATTTCATGATCCACGAAGTGCACTACATAGGGAAGATAGTGTGCTTTGAGACGGGACCTTGCGCAAGTAAACGCTGCGTGCTGCTTTTGGGAAAAACAGAGTTTCAGAGATTAAACTGTAGGAGTGTTTCTGCCGCAGCTCAGATGCGCGTTAATTTTAAGTTATGTTTTAGTTTTAAAATGCTTTTAGAGAAGCAGCTCCACAGGTGAAGACACGCTGTGTGAGTTCTACACTGTCTGCAGCTCACAGCACGTCACGCTGTTTTTCCTGGTGCACTGTGTTGATTAGGGGTTCAGCGCCACAACGGCACAATAATGCTGCAGTTGCAGTTCGGACAGAAATGCCCCGAGTGCAGCACTTCTTAGAAGTAGTAATTTTCCATTAAGACCCACCTCAGAGTTGGTGGAGATTTAATTCTCTATGCAGGGAAATCCCTAATTATTGTAATTAATAATAATAATAATAATAATAATAATAATTACTGCAGTAATAATAATAATAATAATTTACAACAGTAATAATAATAATAGTAATGGTGAAACAAATTTCAGTTTGTGTATCAGTATTTATTTATTTATTTATTTATTTATTTATTTATTTTACTTTTCAACGCTTTTGATCAATATCGCGATAATATCGATAATCGTGATAATTCTGGTCATGATAATCGTGATATGAAATTTTAATATCGTTTCATCTCTAGTCCCAACAAATACCATTTACCATGACTGCCATTCGGCATAATGGATTATTTTATAATAAAATACTGCAATCATAATGACAGAGAAAATTAAATAAGTTTGTCTTTGCAGATATGTTGAACTATGTGTGTGTTTAGTGCTATCTTTAAATACTATGTTATTATTTTCATTTCATCTCTTGAAGCCCACACTTCCAGTTTCAGAAGGCACTAGAGAGAAGTTAAACTTGAGTTGATTTGGTTTAGAAAAACCAAAAGTATCATCATGCATTCACTGTGTGGCAATAAAGCAAAAACAAGAATATAGTTCCCAAAATGTGTTGCCATTTACGTCAAATATGTTTCTCATCTCAGTAACATAATGTTACCATTTATTTAAACTTTGCTGGAAGCAATTGTGAGTATTTCGCAAAACTTAAGAAAGCAAGCAAAGCTTTGAAATGCTCCTATTGTTTAATAATGAAAAAAAACTGTGCTGGCATAAGTGCTCAACTGTAAGATGTGAAAAACTCAACTGAGAACTATACAGTCCAAACCAATGTAGTTTCCAAGTAGTGATGGTACTGATCTGATACCTGGTATCAGTATCAGCAGAAAATGCTGCACTGGAATCTGATTTAATCCGGTAACAAATCTAACCTGAAACAGAAAACACTCACACTGTGTGATGGGTATTTCTTCCTGTGGGGTAGTAGAGTGTTTTGAGTAGTTTGAGCAGAAGCTTTTAGATGCCATTGGGGTTCTTATATGTGTAGATTTGCTGTGCTGTGAATAACATGCATTTGATGTTTATTTTATTTATTTTTTATTTTTTCTTCTCTTGCCTAAGATGGAAGTGCAAGCGCCCCCCGGGACCACCATAGGCTATGTGTCACAGGACTGGCACCCCTGTTACCCAAAATTCTCCATCCAGGGCCCCAACAGAGAGACGGTAATGAAACTGGAGGGGCCGTGCTTAGCCTGCAACTGCTGTGGAGATGTCAACTTTGAGGTAACAATGTGGTTCAGTCATCACTATTACTTCAAATACACCGATTTTCAGATAGGATTAAAGGCAATGTAACCTGCTGATAAACAGCAGCCAGTTGCACCAGCTGAACATAAGTTCAGTTGTAGCGTAGTTTGAATGTAAACTGCCTTTACGTTCAAATTAATGAGCTACTAGAATTTAATCAGTTGCACCAAGTAACATAGTTTCAACGTAGCTTTAAGTTATAATGTAAAATTTACACATACCCGTATAGGAGGTGCAAGTTCTGCCGTAAAAAAAAAAACAAAAAACAGTTAAATGGATGGTTGATTCGATCGATGGGAACAACTTGCAAGAAAACAAAAGACGGCTCGGTTTGCATCAGCAAACACTTCTGCAGAATAGATTGCATTCATTTTTGTCGATTGGAGATGGAAAAGATCACAGACTTCCTAGCTACAGATTTGCAACACAACACAGACAGGAACGGAGCCCTGAGTCCCACTTTGTGTCCGGCACTGAGATGTTTTGCTACAGGGTCATTCCAAAACCTTGTGGGTGTCTCTGATCAAGTACACAAGTCAACTGTGTGCAGACCAATAAGAGTAGCTCCATCAGTGCTCAGGTTGTGTGTGAGACTGACCTTATCATACAATACATAACACATATTACATTAGCCGGAGCTTCACTACTGTTACTGACCGTTTATTGAAGTGCTGTTAAAATATCGTGCACAAGAATCCCAGTTTGAACATCAGACAGATTTCAGCAGCAGAACAGAATAAACACATATACAAGAGATGGACGCTTTGAAAAAACAGACAAACCTTAAACAAACGTTTCATGTGGCATGAAAAGAGAGAAATGTGAGCCATTTTGTGTGGAGATCATGCGTGTATTGTTTCCTATTTATGTTGGGTAGCATTTCGGCTGCAGAATGAAATCATCATTCTGTGCGACACTGTTTTGATCTGCGATCACTTTATGCACTACTAGTTAAGATGGACCGTAAGTGTCTGTGGCACAACCAAAATTTGGTGTTACTAGTTTTAAACTAACTGCTCTCAACGTAAGATTCAGGATGGACTTTACACCCCAACTTACGATGAAACTTGCATTCAGATGGTGCAACTGGCTGCTGAACTGCAAGCATTTGTAGTCTGTACCTTCACAGCTTTAAAAATCAGATGGCACTGTCATAGAATGCCATTTTTGCCACAACTCAGTTTGGGAAATTTCTGGCCTGCTAGATCTGCCCTGGACAAATATATGTGCTACTGTTGTGAAATGGAAGCGTTTAGGAGCAACGACATCTCAGCCACAAAAAGCAGTAGACCATGCAAACTAAACTAAGCTACACACAAACCTAAGATCACTCTCTGCAATGCCAGGCATTGGGACCAAGGATTCTAGGGCAGTGGAAGCGTGTTCTCTGGATCACGCTTCGCTATCTGGCAGTCTATTTAACCTTTATAATATAATGTTTATATTATAATTGGCACAGTCATGCTGGAACAGGCAAGGGCCTTCCCAGTGCTACCGCAAAGTTGAAAGCATATAATTGACTAACATGTCTCTGTATGCTGTAGCATTAACATTACCCTTCACTGGAGCTAAGGGGCTGAGCCCAGACTCGAAAAAACAGCCCCAGACCATTATCCCTCCTCCTCCAAACTTTACTCTTGACCACGTTTCTACTGCGCCACAGTCCAGTGGCGGCATGCTTTACACCATCCCCCTTCCGTTTGGCATTGTGCATTTTGATATTAGGCTCGTGTGTAATTGCTCAGCCATGGAAACCCATTTCAATAAGCTCCTGATGTGCAGTTCTTTTGCTGATGTAGCTTCCAGAGGCAGTTTAGATCTTTGTAGTGAGTGATGCAACAGAGGATAAGCACTGTGCACCTCAGCACTCGGCAGCCCCACTCCGTGAGTTTGCAAGATCTACTGCTTTGTGGCTAAGCTATTGTTGCTCCTAGATAATTCATTTTAACAATAATAGCACTTACAGTTGACAGGGGCAGATCTAGCAGGACAGAAACTTCACGAACTACTTTGTGGCAAAGGTGACATCCTATGACAGTGTCACGTTGCCATGTTTCAAGCCACTGAGCTCTTCAGTACAACCCATTCTACTGCCAGTGTTTGTCTATAGAGATTGCAAGGCTATGCAGTGTTTAGGGCACATTTTCTGTTTATTTGTTTAACATATTGGAAAAAATAAAATGTTAAACAATATTTTTTTTATTATGTGCCAAACTGGCATTTTATATTTGAAATCAAACTAAGTTACGTTATTTAACATGAATCAAATAATCTGTTGAGTAAAGCCTGGCTTGTACCGTGCTCATTTCTGTTTTGAGACATCTCCATGATTTTCCCCCAGCTGAGAGGCAAGGATGGAGGAAAGCCCATTGGTCGAATCAGTAAGCAGTGGAGTGGACTGTTAAAGGAGGTGTTCACCGATGCAGACAACTTCGGCATCCAGTTCCCCTTAGATATGGACGTTAAAATGAAGGCCGTGCTGATGGGAGCTTGCTTCCTGATTGTGAGTATAAAGTTTATGACAGGTTTCAGTGCTGCATCAGCAACTATCTTTTCTGAGCTTAGTATTGTGAATTGTAGTCATTCTTCTCTTCAAAGTGACCTAAAGTGACTCAATAAAAATTGTATCAAAAGTTTTTTTTATGTTTACTGAATTTCAGAAGAAATCTGTTCCAGGAAAATGACAGATTACTCACTAAAACTAGCAGTAAAATAGAATATTTTGGAGAAATTCACACAAATAACATGGTATATATTCAAATACTCTTTCTGTTTTGTCTTTGCAGGATTTCATATTCTTTGAAAAAGTCGGAGACACCAACCAACGCAATACTGTCTTCTCTTAGAGGTTGCCTTAGTCTATAGATAATATTCCTTTTTACTTTTTATGACTCGCATAAAAAAATTAACATTCTTAAGAGTTTTCACCTCTTTGAAGTAACTCTTTCCAATCCAACCTATTTAACAACCTACTGTCAATCTCATAAGCTCTTTGCTTTCAAGGGACTAGAATTCTCTCTCTCTCTCTCTCTCTCTCTCTCTCTCTCTCTCTCTCTCTCTCTCTCTCTCTCTCTCTCTCTCCCCTTTGTATCTTTACTTTTTTTTTCTTTTTTTTTAAACACCTGACCAACACCTAGAAACAGAAGCTTTTTCATGGCATAAACACAGACTTATAAAACAAAACCAGTTTTTCCACTTTGTGTTCAAGCACTTTATGGACACGCCTAAAGCCTTTTAGACCACAAGTAGTTGAATTAAGTTGTTAGTGGTAGAATGACTTTGCATCAGTCCAACAAATCCTAATGTTTTGTTAATAACTTGTGTGAATGATTTCATTGTATCTTTTGTATGAATCTACACAAAATCAGGTTAAAATGATTCATTTTTATTCAAAGCCACTTAAAAGTAATAGTTGTTTTAATTACTGTCATTTTATAAATAATCTGTACTGTCATTTCTGGCTACATGCAGCAACTTTAAAACTTTTTGCAGATTTTGTATGATATGTTTGATCAGACTAACAGTGCTACCTCTACTTTATGAAGAGTTACAGTGGCTAAGTTTTCTTGTATTGTGATTTTGTGACCTTTTCTATTCTGAAATGTCAGAATCAAGTACAGACATGTTCGTACCCTTTTGTTCACCAAACTTCTGATCTTGTGAAAGTGAGGAAAAAACAAGACACACTGGGGGCGGTGCCTGGAAAACTCTTCTAAAATCTTTTCCACTTCCCTGTGGTGGATGACACAATGCCTAAAGAACTCACACTTTTTCCAGTGAGCAGGGAAGTAGCAGAAATCCACAGACTTCTACAGCATGTGGATGTTTTTATTGAAATAGAGAACAGACGTTTTTGTTTTGGTCCAGAAATGGAGCAGCCTTCTGCGGCTTTGTCAGCTTTATGTGGCTTTGTAATAAGGACCAGCAGGATTTTGAAGTTTGTGTTCCCATGGTTTAGCATGTACTAACAACAAATATATAGTGAGGATGTAGTAGATAATGTGTTTGACATAAGCATGATGAGGTTGCCACTTTCCAGACATATTAAGCCCAATACATTAATGCTAAAGCTGCACTATGTAATTGAAAGAAGTAACATTACAGAGTCAGGAGACAAATACATTAAAATATGCTGTGTGTGTGTGTGGGTGCTGCTCCGAGTCACCGTGTAAAGCCTGAAAAAGCGATTTAAGAGTCAGAGTGAGCTCTTTTTGAATGCTCTTTCAACACATTAGCAACCATCAGATTCATCCATTGATGGTTGCAAAGGGGTCCGGAGCACAACCCATGTTACTAAATGTTCATGTTGCATGCAATTATATATTTGTACCAAAGATGTCTCCAAATCCCCAAAACGAACATAGTGCAACTTTAATGAGAATTCTCATTTTAGCTCTGGGCCATGTTTAATCCATGTCCAGAAAAATAATGTTTTGCCTAACCTTATTAGAAACGAGTGCTACATGAATAGCCTTACAGTACCCTCTTGTATGACTTATTATCCATATTATCTGTATGAATCTTATAAATTTGCCAAAAACAAAGGTGTAGCCAGTGTAATAGCCTTATCAAAACTTGTGTCAAGTAGGAAAAAAAGTTGCCTTCATAGGAATTGTATATTATTGTATCCTGGTGCCTGTATTAGTAAGACTTTCTTTAAAGGGCCTGTATCATGGAAAACTTTTCTTCACTTTCTTCAAATATTCAAATTTCTACAGTTTGATGTAGTATGTAAACACAGTTAAAGTATTAAACATAAAGCAATAGAGTCCATATATAGAAATTAAGCTGCAAAAACATTTAGTTTATAGCACTTTCCCATTCAAGCTGATTTTACAAGGAGTGTTTCAGAGGTTAAAAAATGGTCATATAAATTGGCTAATAGTAAACAAAAACACATACATGTTATGAGTGGACATTAGAGGAGAAAATAAAATACAAAACAAATGTAAGATATGGGTCCTTTAAGGGATTAATTGCTAAAAACCAACATTTGTGTATTGGTATTCTACTGCTGATCTTGCCAGTGCTTTCTTGTCTTGACATGTTTATGTATGTGTACATGTACATGTAGTGCCATCATATGCCCTAGTAAAATGCCATGATAATGTAAAAAAAAATGTTGTGGAGACTTTACTTGTATAGTTAGAATGCCTGTTATATCATATAACCACACAATTAACCTGCCCTGGTGATTCAACAGGTCACCATTCCAGGAATTTTCCAAGAATGCTCCCACTCTCACCTTGCTGGTTTAAGGCTTTTGTACAGTGCTGGGTGTGTCACTGTACATGAAAAGCTGAAGTCAGAGCAAATAGAATGTTAATGTTGTGTACATTCATTCGAAGGATTGAGCTATCTATTTGTTTTGTAATGTTTAGGCTACACTGTAAGTATGAAAGATAAAACTGCAGAGAAACGAACTAAACAAGACATCTGTTAATCATTTACATTCCTAACATGGGAGACTAGCTTGCTGGTTATTTATTTATTTATTTAGAGTGGTCTGGTCAGATGTTAGGGAATTCAATGAAATAGCCTTTAAATTAGCCAGGGTTTGGGATTTAATCTAATCCATGAAGTAGTACTCAGTCAGGACATGGACCCCTGCATTAAAATGCACTGCAGTGTTCTCTTTTGTAAGGACATACATGGCCTGAGCGGGGTTGACATGCATGAAGACAAATGTGCTGAAGCAGTTTTGTGTGAGAGACTAATCTAATAGATTTCTCATTACTTTAGCTTGTCTCTCACACAGTTAAAAGCTCCAAACCCTAAGTATGTTTGCTTCTATGAGATGGGAGTGAATCCTGGCTGCAGTACTTTCTCTGTATTGAAATTTCATAACATGTAGCAGCTCACTGTTACTTGGGGTTAGAGGGGAATTAAACCGAGCTTTCAAAATTACTGCAGAATTCAATTGTGGAGATGTGAACTAAAGTGTTTCCGGGTGATGTGATGTAAAATAGTTCATAGTAAAGAAACTCACAGACTCATATATAACAGTATCGGCAGATATGTGCTTGAAAACAAATACTGGCATTGGACAGACGTCTAGATTTGACCAGTATTTCAAACCAACATTTTATGACATTTATTGTACTCTGGAAGAGCAGAACATTTAACCAACGCTGGGCTATTGTGCTAAAATGTCTACATCTTATTTTTTATTGCATTTGTAACCCTACAGAAATAACTGTTACATTTCTCTGGAATGCTAATTCAGGTGAATCTAGTCTCAGTCAGCATCTCCAGATACCAACAAATAACCAAAAAAAAAAAAATGGCCCATCATTTTTTGGGTACTGTTTGGCTTTACAATGTTCTGCATGTATCTCTCCACTATAAATGGACTTTTTTTAAAAAAACTAGGCTAAAACCTTCAGAAAACTATCTTTTTCAAAACTGCCATTTACATGTGATGACTTTCTGTGAGGGAGCTTTAGTGGCCTTAAACTCTTTGGCCGTCTGGTTCCCATCACTACCACTGTGAACAATCCTGACTCAGGATTTCTCTGTTCTCTAGAACAGAGCATTTCACATCAAACTACTCTGAATTATGTTATTTATAACCTAATTATGCAGTAATTTGGACAAATTGGTGGAATTCCTCTAAAGTTTAGCAGAATATCGCTGCTGTTGGACAAAAATCTTCTATCCAATCCTTCTGTCTGAAGGATTATTTCTTTTTGTGTTAAAGTTCTTAACATAATATAAACTTATCTTATTCCAAGTAATTTTGGCGCATTGCTATCAGTCCACGCATCATGAAACTTTCACACACTGTGGACAGCTGTTATCATCAAATTACATCAAAAAATAAAAAACAAAAAAAAAAAGACAAGGTTTAGTTCCAAAAGTGATATGTTATAAAAAAAAAGATGCTGTACTTGAATCCTCTACACTAAAAAGCAAAGCCCTATACTAGACAGAAATGTGAGTTGTAATTTTGTCTACTATATTTTTTATTTCCACTCCAGATGGATTATACATTTGGAACAGTGCGCCAGCTTGGACTGCATTTTTGATGAGATCTTAGATTAGCCACTATGTAAATAAGACATTTGTATATGACATGAGATGCTGTCGATGATGTGGTACACCTAACTGACTGTACACTACAGTACTATTATTGGCATCTGGCATCAAAATATATTGATATAAGTACCCATTTTAATTTAGAAAACAGATTCAGATAAAAAAGTTCTGGAACTATGTATACAATTTATTAAAATCTATTTCTGTTCATCTATTAAATATATATTCCATAAAAGTACCTATTTCAATTATATTTTCCATGTATAAAATTGTAAACAGCGTAAGAGACTGCTCACTGTGGAAACAGAAACTTGCACCCACTTCCCCGACAGTTTTTGCTAAGCTTGTGTGTCAGTGAAAAATAAAAAATTCCTTCATTCAGCATAAGTGTTGGTGTTGGGTGTTACATTTCAGTGAGAAGAAAATCTAATCCAAACTGTCCTCGTCAGTTCTAGTCTCTTGGCCCCTTCCAGGAGGTCTGAAACAACTGAACAGGCCCACGTTCAGCTGGCAGGGGGCGATGTAGAGTTGGTACAGGCTCATATGTAGGGAGGAGACCAAGCAATTTCCTTGTACTGTTGGCTCAAACATGTACAGCATGATTCACTGACAACAGCAAATATCTTAATTCTCAGACAACATGCAGTAAAATAGAAACCAAAGTGTCCTCTAACTCTTGTTGTTCTTCTGTGGCACCAGTTTGAATTCCCACTCTGTATTTTATTATGCTGATTCATAAATACGCTCTTCAGTGGCTCAATGCCGTGCTGGACAGAGAATGGCACCATGCTGGCACAGTAGTGAGGATGAGATGCTCTCCTGTAGCTTTCCTGTAGTGTAGGCCCCTCCGATGTTGACGTGTGGCACTTTTAGCCCCTCACTGTTGAGAACTTGCATCAAAATCCAGCACTGGATCCTCAGTTCTTACAGAGTTCATGCAGATCCTTTTCTAAACTCTGTCTGCCCGTCTCTCCAGTGCAGCATCTCTGGCCATGCGGATGAGAAAACGGCTGGCCAGCTGAAGGTCCCAGTTGTAGCGTGACAGGATCTTGTAGCAGTCCTCTCGAGAGCACTGGTTCATGTGGTACAGCTGCTCTGTCTGTGAGGAGGACAGAAGTGGACGGGTTATACAAGTGTGTAAGATTAAAGGAAAACTACAGCGTTTTTCAACCTGCTCTCTATGTGCCCCATCTTTACTGTTCTGCTGATTATCACAGACAGTAATTTGAACGTTTCCCTGTACTTAAAAAAGAACAGAAAACCCACAGACATCATCACAGAAGCTACTGGGCAGTTGCTGAATTTGGTCATTAAATGCTTTTGCGAATCATATATTTTGTAGAACATTCATGTGTCCTTCAGTTAAAGCTGTTGGTAAATTAAGTCATAAATATGTTTCATTCTTTCAAAGAGGGTACTTGTTTTGCAGAATTTGTATTAAAAGGTTTTCACAGGATCCTGACTGAACTAGAAAACCAAGAAAGTAACCCAAACTGCTTTTTTTACTGTACTGCTCCAGTGAAATTTAGAGAAAAGGTCATAGGAACAGCTTTGGTAAGACAGTCTCTCATGCCTGTGTCACAAGGCCTATATTGTAGGAGTGTAGTATCATAATCATGTAGTTTGTAATGATATGCATTACGAGGTCAACGTTACATTTTCATTCTATAAGCTCTAATTATACACTACACATATTGTTTGACTCACATAAATAAAAGTTGTCAAACAAAATGTTTTCAAAGCCTGCAATGCCTGCTGTCAAACAAAAGTATCTGCATAGTTCATACACGTATCAGCTCAAAGTGCTTTAAAATGAAACAGCATGTTTTTTTTTTTTAAATAATAAAAGCAAGAACACACAAGATACATATAGTAATAAAATGAAATAAAATGAAAAAGTGAATGAATGAATGAAGACAAAATGAAAAGACAAATGTTTCTTAAAAGTGTGTACCACCTAATAGAAAGGTAAAGAGTTCAACAGTTTAGGACAGGTATGTTAAACTGGGGACCATCTGGACCAAAGTGACTTTCAGAGGGAATGGAATATTGTTAGCATAGCTGTGAAAAATGATCATGTTTTTTGATCACATTTTCTAAAGGCAGTGGGTATGGTGAGAAAAGCAGCGCTCCTAAAATGCAACCTTGTGCCAAATAATTCAATGAATGATTTCTCAAGAAACAAATTTGATTTAAACCATTCTAAAGCAGAGCCTGAGAGGCCTGTCCAGTTTTAAAGTCAATGGATCAGGATCTCATGATCAACTGAATTGAATGCTCCACTGAGATTGAGTAACACGTGAATCAGCAGTGAATCAGCAGCCTCAGGTCATTCACAACATGAGCCAGTGCCATCTCTGTACTGTGGTTGGAACGACAATGTGACTGGAATTTCTCTAGTACATTATATACCAACTACACATAATTATTTAAAAACAACATGCTCTAAGAGTTTACTTATAAAATTTGAGTTTTGAAATGGTTCCAAAATTACAAAGTTCTGTAGAATCCATCATAATCCTTGACAACCAACGGTATAATGGAAACATGACTTTTCACCTTCAGCTGTTGCTCTGCCCGCATTGGATTCCAGTCACTGCGTTGTAGGGCTCTCTGGACCTCTTCAAGGGTTACTCCATGGACGGCCGCCTGCACCTGTCCAATCACAATGGACCACAGAATTATTCAACATGAAGTCATTATTATTAGCAGTATCAAATAATCTCTGAAATCTGTGATATGAAAAAGCCAATAAACATGGGCTGATTTAAAAAGGAAGTACATGATTATACCTGTGCTATGAGTGCCTCCTTATCTGTCTGCACTTGAGTTGGATACCTTTCCCGTGCCCTTTCTTTTTCTTTTTCTCGCTCCTTTTCCTTCTCTCTTTCCCTCTCTTTCTCAAAGTCGTTGTCTACCTGGGGAGTTGACTTTGCTAACTGGGTCATCTTGACTAGGTTGCTGACCCCCATAACCTGCTGCTGCTGTACTTGGGGCTGCAGGTTTGGATGAGGAGGTGAAGGCCAGGACCCTGGGGCTGCATTTACTGCCACCCTCCGATCACTTTTCACCAACTGCTGGGGTCTGATGCGCTTGAAGTTGGGGGGTGGTGGTCGTGGAGGAGGCGTGATGCCACTACAGTCACTGAACCTTCGAGGGTCCTGGATTAGGTGAGCTGGGATGGCTTTGCGGACGTGGGTTCTCTGAGCCAGGCTGCCACCTCCACCTTGACTCTTGTCATTTGAGACCCCAAGGACAGACTCAAGACTACGGGACATGCCTAGAGAAAATATGAGGGTGGGATATGACATTTGGTATGGAATAATGGTGATAAAAAAAAAATAAAACGACAGCAGGATAGGAATTTGAAACAATGGGTGGTAACTTCCATGCAAGCTACCTTCACACCACCACATGGCAAATGTTCCTGTGGCATTTCAGTTAAGCAATAAGACACAAACGGTTGTGGTTTACAGTGATTTTAACATGGTTAGGGATGTTGTTAGGCACGATATGGAAAATGTGATGACATACAGTATTGTTCAAAATGTGTTATGATCATTTGTAAACAGCACACTGTGATTGCCAAGCAATATAACAATATAACAAAAACTGAATTTTAATATAATAATAAGTGCAGTAACAGTTGTGTATGTCAACTGTATATCAAACATAAAAATCACAGCCACTGTGATTTCAGAACTGAAACTGTTTTATAAAGCAGCATTTGGAAGGGTGTAGCCATGATATTCAGGAGCTCTTGCTCTAACCTGCCATTTTCTTTAGATTGGATCCTTCTTTCTCTTTTGCCAAAGGTACCTTCCAGTTTCCAGGGCTGAAAACAATATCATAAGACAATGTGTTTCCATAGCAGTTAGTGCAAACATTACAATATTCCACAAATGTTGTGAAGTTACTTAGTGACAAACAATGAACAAGCATCACTCACTCATCAAGCCGTGTTGGGGTTCCCCAGCTGCGTTCTGGGTTCACATCTCCATGTCCAGTGTGCTGTAAGCTTCCTCTGAGTGGAGGAGAGATGACAGCAGGACTAGTACTAGGACTCAGTGCGCCCAGTGAAGACACAGAAGGAGCGGTCAGCGATGGGGGAAACCAGCCAACACTCAGTGTCCTCTGGTTCTGACCCCTCCACTCACACAACTCCAGCCTGGACAGAGAGCAGAGAAATTACCACCAGTCAAAATACTGTCTGTACTTCAGTCTTTCCATATGAACAATAAAAAATTACACAAGCTTCACTGACAGCTATGGAAGATTTTTTTCAAGTTAAATAACAAAAATAAGCTAAATGAAAACACATTTAATCACTAAAACAAGAAGTGTGTGCTTTTATTCCTTTGTAAGATCTTAAAAAATCTCAGATTCAGTCGTGTGTCCATCAAGCTAAGCTATGCTTAATGAAGGAAACAGATTATTCCACTGCAGAGCAAAGCTTGCCTTGTTTTGTTTTTGAAAGACCCATTTCACAGGAGGCCTAAATGCTAAGACTGGTGTTTAAAATATGAATGGAATGCTTCTTAGGGGGTTGAAGTAAGTTAAGCTCTCCCCTGTCCCCCTCACTTTCCCCCCCTACTTCCTTTTGTTTCCTTGCTCTCAGCTCCCTTTCTTACCCATGGTCTATTACAGTCACTAGGTCACTGGCCTGTAGAGCAAGTTTTCTGGGCTCTGTAAAGTCCTGCAATGCACGCATCTCCATAGGCTGAGCCTAGACAGATACAGGAGAGAACTATAAGAACATGTACAGGCAATCAGCCCACAAATCCCATCCACTGCACTGTTTATGTTAATGGCTTAATTTGATATGAAGTCTTCTAAGCAGTAAGGGAAACCAAATCTACTAAAAGTATGTGAAAAAGTGAATACTGAAGTATATGGAAATTAAATTTGCTCCATATTTGACATAAATAATGTACATACTTTCACTTATTCTTAGTTATTATAGTTACATGCAAACGTTGAGCACCCCTGGTCAAGTTGCATGTTCTGCTGATTTTCTATCATCCTCTTTTGAGAATATGTTAAACTTGGCAAATAAATAGAAATTTGCAGAAAAATCTCATATTTCTATCCTGTAGATGATATGTTCCCTTTTTTTAAATAGAAAATCAATAAAATGTGTAATTTGACCAGAGGTGTTCTGCATACGACTGCATATCCAATACAGTTCATGTAATTAACACTGGTGTAAAATTCATCCTTTGAGCCATGACTGCCTGTCAAAGACAGACACCTAGCTTTTCAAAAAATGTTTTCGCAATGACTTAACATATTAAAAGACTAAACCAGGCTTATTTTGAGGAAAACAATATTATACATGTAAACCGACCGTTTATAGGTGTATATTTGTGACAATAATAAAAAAAAGATGGAATATGTTCATTAAATCATTAAAAATATGGTAGCTAGTTAGTTTAGATGAAAAACTTTTGCCCTGGTCCACTTTTTTTTTTCAGAATACATTTTTTTTATTTTTTCTGCAATCACTGACTGTTTGCTTGAAGAAAGTGTGTGTTACCGAGTAGTTACGGAGTGAATTGCGGAATGTATATTTTATTTTTAGTTATCACAATAATGTACACATATAATCTTGTTTTCCACAAAATGAGCCTAGTCAATATTTAACATGTTAAGTTATCGCAAACCCACAAAGAAAACAAGGTTGTTTATTTAAAACATTTTGACAGCTAGGTGTCCCAAAACTTTGAAGGGCAGAATATGTAAATTATGGGGCTATTTCAGACAATTTTTACTGTTCCCTCAGGCACTGACCTCAGATACCATAGTGGTGAGCTGGGAGAAGGTGGGCCGCTCTGATGGATTGTAGGCCCAGCATTTCCTCATTACAGAGTACAGCTCCTGTGGACAGTCCAGTGGTCTCTGCAAGCGATCGCCATCTCGCTCCACACGACACAGGATCTGCACACGGCAAATTATGCAGCATTCAGTATGGAAAAAAAAGCTTGTTCTCCTTTAGTTTCCAGCAGTTTACAGTGTTAACACAGCACAGCATAGCATTCAATAGCCATATGATCTGAACTGATACAGAGTAGATGTATTAGCTAGTTTCAGTATTTCATTTCAGTGAAGAATACATTTCTACAGTCTCACTCATACCTGCCTTCCAGACAACCCGAGCCAGGGCTCTTCACAGTAAGTGAACATTTCCCACAGGGTGACCCCGTACATCCACACATCTGAGGCATGTGAGAAGGAGCCCATACGCAAACTCTCAGGAGCACACCTACAGAGAGGGAGAGAGAGGGATAGATAAGCTGCTAATTAATAGCACACTTTTTTGTGTTATCACTATTTTAAATTCAGTCAAATTACATTTTGTTTATTTCTATGTGAAAATAAACTTTGCATTAAAATGTGCAGAAGTGTGTTCTCTGTAGAGGATGTGCACTTATTTACACTTACAAAATCAACAAAGCATGTCATTTGACCAGAGGTACCCAAACTTTTACATACGACTGTATTTCTACACTCCCTGTGTGAAAGTAATAAAATGTATTGTTACAGAGATGTTACACTTAGAAATGCATCACACTACAGAAGGAAAATCAAAGCATTAAAAACACATGAATTCACACAGCCATCATGCCCATGACTCTAATCCAGGCAGAATTCATCAGTAATAATCTTAATAAACCCCTCACCAGGCAAATGGGATGCGTCTGTGGGCTCCCATGATGTAGTGGTCTTTGTCCTGGCCCAGACCCCTCATCAGACCAAAGTCTCCAATCTTCACCAGCTCTCTGGAGGCCAGGAGCACATTGCGGGCTGCCAGGTCTCTGTGGATAAAGCGCCGCGTCTCTAGATACTCCATCCCTGCAGCGATCTGAGTGCTGAAGAGCCAAAGACGGGCCAGCGGGTACGCACCCTGCCGCAAGCGCAGAGTGTCGTACAGAGAGCCGAGAGGAGCCAGCTCTGTCACCTAAGGAGAACAAGAGTGGAGTGAAAACTGAATGAGGGCCAGTTTTTACAGCAAGTGCATCAGAATTTACTTGGTATCATGGAAGAGCCTAGAGTATTTACAGTTGCAGAACCTTAGCTGGGGTACATCTTTATGGACAAATACATGAGTTATTAAATTTCACTCAATAACTGCAAACCAAGAAGTGCAAATTGTCAAAGAATTAAAATCACAATTCAGCACAACTAGGTTTCACATGTTGTATACAGTGAAATGCAAAAGTTTGTGCACCCCGGTCAAATGATATGTTTTAAGATAAGATAAGCCTTTATTAGTCCCACAATGGGAAAATTCTCAGTGCTACAGCAGCAAAGGGACAGCAAGGCACTCAAGAAAAAAAGTTTTGTTGATCTTAAGTGCAAATACGTTAACACATCCTCTACAGAGAACACACTGCACATTTTAATGCACCATTACTGTTTGTTTGTTAAACTTTGCATATTGGTAAAAAAAAATAAATAAATAAAATGGGGTCTGTGCAAAAGTTATGGCACCTTTTATATGCTGTGTTTTTTCTAACAGGCAAAACCCAGCAAATGAAGAGAAACTGTGCATTAAAATTTGCAGAAATAAGTTTGTTCTGTGTAGAGAATGTGTGAACTTATTTTCACTTAGGAAATCAACAAAACATTTGACTTTCGCGTTCATAATTAGTGTCTTGAAATGCCTCTTCTTACTTTTTATTAATGTTTAATTCAGCTCATTGAACCAAGTGGAGAAATTTTGCCAAAAGTGCAGATTATAAACTTTCAAATGATAATTTGAATTCTTTGCATAATTTAAAAGTGCCAGCTTCCCTTTATATCTTTATAAAGTTTCATGATGAATGAAGCAAAAGGAATGCTCCAAAATTACTTGGGAAAAAAACTTCGTTCCATGAACATTCAAAGTTTTTTCTTTCTCCTGTAAAGTTAGCATTTTGAAGACATAATGTTTTGTCACAACAATGACAATATGCTGACTAGTTACCATTGTGCATGTGTCACATCCTTTACTGTTTTGCCATGTTTTTTGTCACATTTTGTCAATATGCAATGGAGATCACTTGTACATGTGATTCATTATGTAACTAACTCCATAATTAATTATGTAATTACATATAAATAACTATGTAATGTGAATCAAAGGTAGAGCAAAACAACAAAAACTCTCCACTGAACTTCATAATGCTCCTCAAATTCAGAATCGAGTTGAACCAACTGTTCACAATACAACACCAAGCAAGCACAACTCACCATTTTGAGAGGCTGTGTAAGGACCACACCATACAGGCGTATGATGTTGATGTGGTCCAGAGACTGCATGGTGGTGACCTCCTGGAGGAAGTCTGTCACTGTATCTGCCTCCCTGGACATACTGCTTCGCAGACTCTTCACAGCTACGGGTATCTGGAGAGAGCATGATGAAGACAAAAATAAAGATAGTTCTGTGAGTCCAGAGAGATAAAGAAGATGGTAGATCTTGTGACCTAGTCAGCTTAGCTACTGCAGCAACTTCAGTGGCTGTAAACTCTTTTCACATGTGTCTATGATGTCAATTTAATGAAGAATGAAGGGCTTCCAGCCTGACTGGTCAGTGCTTAGTGATTTCCTGAGTGTCCATTGGTTAGTTTCACACAAAATGTAGATGAACACATGGATCCACCAATTACACAGAGGGAGATGACTCATAACTCCACATGTGAGTCACATATGATCTCGCAATACGATGAAATGGAAAGGGCGATTCTACAGATTCAGGAAATGTTTGAAATGTATTTCTGCACTGCATTATTGCAAATATAGAGAAACATATATCAAAACATCAAAGTTGATGTACGGGCGAGTTTGCAGACCCCAGAGGGTTAAAGTTCAGAGCATCTTGTCTTTGTTCTAGACAAGGTTTTGTTACAAAAGAAACAATGTTTTACTCTGAATTTAGCATTAAATATAAAGCTAAACTTAAAGCTACAACTGCTGGGGGGCAGGATTCAGCTTAGTTTGGCACTTCATCTAATTCTGAAAGGGAATGAGCTGGATCAAGACATTAAATATGGTGTTAGGCCTGTCACAGTCATGAATTTTAGTTGACAATTGATTGCAATTTAAATATTTGGCATTAACATTTTAATTAACATGTTACAGCACCACGTGGCTTAATAAAAGCATCTGCTTTCTTTTGTTGCCATGCACTTTCTTCAACCTAAAAGATGAAAACACAACTAATTCACATCCTGTTGGTTGTGACACAAATCTTGTAGCAACTATAGAAAATAATTGCCATCGACTTAAATAATTGCAATTCAGGTCAAATAACTGTGAGTAGTTGATTATGTAATCATTGTCACAGGTCTACATGGGGAAGTGTCCTTCATTTGCCAAACAAGAACACCAGGCAGGAACTCCAACAGGTTATGAGATGAATACTATTAGTATACTCTTAAACAAACAAACAAAAAAGTATCAAAAAGGGTTCTCTGTATGATGTCACAGAAGAACCACTTTTGGTTCCCTACAAAAACTTTCAATAGATGGTTCTTCAGAAGACCATTTTTATTAAGGAGATGTGAGTCTGAAGCACCTTATTTAAAGTTAGTAAAGGTACATTACGTATCTAGGAAAAACCCATAAATTGGTATAGGACCTGCATAATAGAACATACACATACCTACATATAGAAAAATATTACATAACGGTTTGTTGAACCTTTAAAAACACCCAAATATGTCTTTCTCTTTATTTAGGGAACAAAAAATGGTCCTCTATGGCATCACTTAAATAACCCTTTAGTTTTTTATAGAGCATAGTAATACATGGCTGATCAACCTCCCTACATTACTTGTTTTTCAGGATTTTTCAAGGGTTTTCATAGGATCATATGGGTCATGCCTTCATATTACAACCACTTTCTATATTTGAGTCTATTAAGCATCTAGAGTCTATTATAAATTCCTTCCAGGATGTTCATGTGCGGAAGGTCTGCTTTGTGTTTGTCTCATTACTGTCTTCATGTGAAACAACTTTCAGTGGGGATGAACTCACCACTCGTCCGGTAGGCATGTGCCACTCTGCTTTCTTCACCACCCCAAATGAGCCTGAGCCCAGTCTCTCTCCAAACACCAGCTCACTGTCCTGGATGAGGCAGGTGAGAGCTCGCCCTATTTCCGGCCCCTGACCAGACCCACCACCACTCCACTGGTCACCTCCTTCTGGACCACGCACACTGAACATCTGTTAAAGGCAAAGAATGGGATGATTGATAGGTTGCCTGGCTAATCAATAAGAAATGATAAGAAAAGAAGCCGGAGAGATGTAATACCTTGGCCATCCATGACCGCGGCCGCGTGCTGGTTTTGTAACGCTTGACTGCATCCCATAATCGTCTTTGTCCTGTTGACACAAAAGCAAAGACTATAAAAACAGTGGTGTACATGCCTCATCAATATATATTCAACAAAGACATTACAGAGACTATGCTGCATAAGTAATGCTTTAAATAAAACACAGTATGTCAATTAAAAAGTTAAAAAAATCAAAGTTTGCTGCAAACCTGGTCTGCTGATTCCAATCTGTTCCAAGTCAGCCTCCTTCACGTAGTCTAGGTGCTCAATGCGTGTCACATTAAGTCCATCACGGACCCTCAGGTAGAAACGCTCCAGCTGCACCTCGGCCAAAAGCTGGTACAGCCACTGAGTGTCTTGATCCATCATAATTACATTGTCCTTCAACATAGCCGTCAACCTGAATGGTGAAAGGTAGTGTTGACAGAAGGTAGTGTTTATAAAGATGGACAGAAGTACACAAAGAATTCAAGTTTCAAGGTGGCTGCTTGTACTGTTTTTAGTGCTTCAACATACTTTTACCCATTTTCATATAACAATGTGGCTTTTCAATATGGCTTGCACAATGCCCGTTTTTCACGATCCAATCAGATCCTGAAGAATAAAATCATGTCGCATCCTTCATTATTTCTTGCCCGAGTTGCTTGTTTCACTCAGAAATATGTCACATTAGTGAAGAAAAATGCATTCTAATTTTCTAATTTTCCATTCTAATAAACTTTAAGTACTGACCATATCCAAGATATGCTCAGAAAAGCATACTGTGACGTAACGTGACATAATAATCACGCTAATGATAAAAATCATCATGTTGCCCACCCTTTTACTGCACATCCTGCATGGTGACCCCAACTCATACAAATAATGTGATGCTTGCTTGCTCGGTAACGTCACTGTACATTTTTTTGTTTGTTTGTTTCATTAATGCATTATTTTAATAGAATGCAAGACCATACCACTTATTTTATGTATAAATGTTCTTCAATAAATGCATTTGCTTCCACTGAAGCAAATGATGTAGAACCACAAATACAAAAGTGTATCAGTTTTATCTAGAACCAAAATGAACTCTGAGAGCAAAGAACTAAAGCACATAAAGCCTAACAACCAACCAGAATGTAGCTTACCTTAATCACAAATCTCTCAATTCCATATGCGTTTCAAGGGAATCATGACTTTTACTTGTTGATAAAAAGCGCTAGCAGTGTTAGAGCAGTGAGAGCAGTGTTTTGCACTGGACCACTCATGGACTTACTATGTTGAGGGACCTCCCTGGGTTGCTATGGACATCAGACAGGCATCCAGCAGTAAGGTTTTCTGGCTCAGGAACAATTAAACAAATAGAGGGAGAGATGGGAGTGGACATTCCAATGCCCAAAACACATACTCCGTCTACCTGGAACTTCCACTGCACCAAAAAAACTGTATGATATACTGTTACCTATACAAATGTACAAAAGTAAAGACTAGATTCAGACTTTAAATGACTGCTACTACTAAAATTGCTTTTAGATAAGAAACATATTTATGTCCATTTTTATAGCAGTGAAACCACATAAACAAAGACTGTTTGAGATAACACGGTTTGAGGCAAGTGTGTGATAATGTATACAGGCACACAATGCTAATTGAAGACATAAGCTGCACAGCGTATTAACTAAATTAGTCTTTTAGCTCCAGCGCACAACTAAAGAAGCAAACTTCAGACATAAAACATGTCTAGCCTAATCGAGTATATGTGAGATGATGGCTAAGTGCAAATTTGATTTTTGACTGAACCTTCGCTTTAAGATAGTCCTCTTCTTTCTCTTTCCTTGTTTATTATTCTGCAAACATTCTGTTAAATAGATCCTTTGTATGTTCATTGTATTTGCACATACATACACAACATATATATGACAGAATAATTTATAAGAAAGTAAGAAGAAGAAACAAAGAAACTACAGGGTTGGCTACAGATGGACAGATGGAGAGCAGGTGAGAGGGAGGGACAGGAAATGGGCAGATAAAAGCACAGCACCCCACCCACAGCATGCTTACGACACACAGCTGTGGTTTAGAGCATGCTTGGAAGGAAACAGTACCAGCATTTATAATCCAAGCTAACTACCTTTGTCTCATTGAATGGCCTGACTTTCCCTGTAACACCTGAGAAAAACAGCCAATTAACCATGTAACCATGTATCTTAGCTTTTAAAGGGTCAATATCATGGAAAACCGAATTTTCCTCATTTTTATGAGAGTCGATGTCTCTTGCTGAGTCACTGACTGAGTGACTGCTGTCCATTAAACGTGCACACGCAAGCATCTCCCACGATAAGCACTAGGCAGCGTGGTACGTTAGGGTGATTAATCCACAATCACATATTTTATCATCATTCCCACTGCTGAATTTCTTTTCTGGCTGGGAGTACCAAGCTGGAATGTATGGGTGGAGCTAGAAATGGTGCAATCACTGACTGGCAAAATGTTGAAAGCTACAAATATATGGCTAACAAATAATGAAAGAAAGCAGAAACACATTCATTTGAAACACATCACAGGTCCTACGAAAACCTAATAACAGGTGAAGCAACACAGTAGCATAACACAGTAGAATTTTAGCTCAAGCTGTGTCTGACTCAACTGGAATTTCCCTTGTTGTATAAGCAGCCTTATTTAGCTCGTTTTACTCTTCCAGGTGAGGATACTTGGTGAGGTCACCAAGCACTAGTACATGACCACTAAGTAAAGTGCCAAATGACAAATGCTATGCAGCTAATGGCAACACTAAGCTTACCTAGTCTTGTTTTAAATAAATGAGCTTGGAATATGAAAATGTTCGGTTTTCAAAATGGATCATTCACATTCCAGTACAGTCCATAAATGGGACCTAATCTGCTAAAACATCCTGTTTTGAATGGTTTTCTGTGATAGCACATTTTTACATATCCATCTAATGAGCCTCTAGCAGTTTATGTTGAAGTTATAAGGAGTGTTCCAGCCTGAACTGCTGTTTGAATGAAGCATAATACAGAGCAGCCAATCAGAACAGAGTTTATTTACACATATCTGTCAAAGGCACAGTAATAAAAACAGCCTGTTTAAATCCAAGCGATAAAAAGAGGTTGGAAAATGATCAGGTAAAAATTGTTTTTGGTACATAAAACCATACAAAGGTTACAAATGGACCTCAGGGAAAAAAGTAGGATATGAGTCCTTTAACAAACATAGGACTGTCACGATCAAAACATTTTAGCTAATGATTATTGTTTTATAAATAATTGCGATTAATGATTTAATCTCTTTCAATCTTTTTTATTCATTCTATTTTATTCAACTTTCAAACTAAAAGCATCAGCAGCTAAATCAGCTGATTAGCTATCTTGCTTTCTATTTTTTTTTTACTTTGTAGCTTACACAAAATACTAACATGACATTATATACTGCATTGTTGAGTGTCCATAGAAGTCTGCAGTTACAGAGAATCATGGAGAGACTACCAAAGCTTATATGTGTGTGAAAAACACTTGAACTGCAAGCAAACATGCAAAAATTAGCGTGTTTTTAACCATTAGAACTTGTGTTGTATCTGTACGATCCATAACTCTCAGTGTCTTTCAGAAAACACATCTATTTCACATGCTGACTGTTGTGATGTAATATGGAAAATGTCTGTGGAAAATAATTGTGGTTGGCTTAAATAATTGTGATTATTTAAAATAATTGCTACAATTATGTAATAATAAAAATTGACAGGCCTAAACAAACAACAAAAAAAAAAGTTTTGGTTACTAAGGTTAACACACACACACACACACACACACATGTATCTTATATACATAAAAGTGTAGTCATGCGACGGACTGGCGACCTGTCCCGGGTGTATTTTGCCTTCTGCCCAATGACAGCTGGGATAGGCTCCAGCACCCCACCACGACCCAGAAGGATAAGCGGTTTAGATGATGTATGTATGTATGTATGTACGTGTATATATATATATATATATATATATATATATATATATATATATATATATATATATATATATATATGTACACACACACACACACACACCCGACACACACACACGTACTATGGGACGTTCTGACAAGTGTGTGTGTGTGTGTGTGTGTCTGTCTGTCTGCCTGAAAAGACGCTATACCTGTTCAGCGAGATGTCACCAAAGCAGAAAAGGTTATTATGTAATGAATGACCCCAAAAACTTCACTAAATAACTTGTACAACTACACTTAGCCAACAATAACACAGTTCAACTACTACACAGGCTGTGCTACGCTGTTACAATGATCTCTTATAATTACAAAACAACAAAGCTAAAGTAGGAAGTTCTGCCACAATGCGCACCACATTTGCATAATTATTTACTGGTATGGAAACAGCAAAAAGGAAAAGTGAAATTAATTTTGCATTACACTTCTTAGTCAGCTTTGTAAATGTCTGTGAACTTTCCTGTTATCATTACTGCAATAAAACACTCAGTGAGCACTTTATCAGAAGAGAGACGGGAGGAGAATAAACACTGCCTGTAGTTCTTCACACTCACACATCTCATTTACAAAAATGCTTCTTTAAAAAGGGCACATATCCTACATTTTTCTTGTATAGTTCATTTTTACATGTCCAACCTCTCTTTATTCTTTAGAATTAAACAAGCTGTTTTGTTACTGTGCCTTTAAGACTAACATACACAGATGACCTCTGTTATGATTGGCTGCCATGTATTCAAAACAGCAGCCCAGGCTGAAACACTTCAGCATTAATGGAGAGGGCTAACCTGCTGTAGGCCACATTAGTGGATATGTAAATGAGTTGCTTTTCAAAAATAATGCATTGGCTGTTTTTACATAATAGGATTGGGGAGTGAATGTTACATTTTAAAACTTTATCAATGTTTACAACCTACACAAATCCTTTATTTTGAAAATGTATCTTTCCATAATTTTTTTTTTCAAAGAACTATCCAATGAACGGTTCTTTGGGGAACTAAAAGTGGTTCTCCTGTGGCAGGGCAGCCCAATCTTAGGCCTAAAGCTGTACTGTCCCACAAAGTTTACTTTCACTTTAACACACCTACCTCTAATGTTCACACGTTTCTGACCTTTGATTACGTTGATCAGGTCTGTTAGATTAGGGCTGAAACTGAACTCTGCAGGGTAAGTAGATCTCCAGGAACAGTTCTGGGCTCACCAGTTCTAGGGCATTCCTCCACATCAAATTGTGTAGGAGCAGCCAAACCAAGCTGTGTTTTTTACCCATTATAAGGTCAGTGCAAAAGGACAAAGCAGAAGCTGCATGCAGAGGTTTCCTACATTCCTCTTTTGGAATGGAAGGATGAAAAAAGCGCACTCCGGCCTCACACACAAACCTTTAGTGAATGATTAAGCGAAACGCAACTGAAGCACCAATTAGTGAGTACAGAGTCTGAGTCAAAAACATGGGGGCTAGTTCAGGCAGGTGTAGAAAAACAGAGACAGTGTTAACATAAGATTCTCCAGGACTACACCCAAAACACACACACCCAAAATATTCACAAGAGAAATAACGATACCTTAACGAACACAGTATCACACTTACTCTTATAAGTTACTCAATAGTTTCTCAGCTGAAGACTAAACTTTACTTTTAACTAAAACTGACTCACAATAGGCTCTCAATCTTTATTCAGGCTGCCATAGATTATGCTTCATATGAATCTACAAATAACCATGCAAGACTTGAAGAGATACAAGAGCAACGCTAAGTTATACAACAGTCAAAATAGGACATGAAAACACCAGTCTGTTTAAAAGAGTCTTCAATACGAAAATATGATGCGCAAGAAAATGCACGACTGATACAGTCTCCATTCAAAACATACTCACTGAGCTACAGTTATAGTCAAAACAGTCAAACAGGAAATAAATCAGCAAATACATATATGTTTACACTGGAGTCTTTTCTTTGAAAAAGCTATGTAATGTCCAATCACATGGTTGGTCTCTTGAAATGCTGTGGTAATAAGAAAAGGAAAAATTCAGGGTTTAAAAAGAGTTTTTGAAGTGATGCTGTAGAAGAACCACTTTCGGTTCTCGAATCATTCTCAGGGCCTTCAAGACGGTCAGCCTTTTACTTCAACCCAACTCACAACACATAGGAATAGAGGAAAATGTGGACTATCTGGGGTGTCCTGAGAACTGGTCTGAGAACCACAGTCCTAAAGATTATTTCATTTTAGTTATTTCAATTAAAAAGTTTATAAAGAACCATTCTTTGGAAGGTTTTTTAGGAAATAAAAAGTAGTCCTTCTATGGTATTGCTTCAAAATATATATATGCAGGCTGTTGTTACTGAAGTAAACTAAGAATGATAACAGCAGGTGTGTCTTACTGAGTGATTTTAAGCTTCTACAATCTATAAGGAAGCAGATACAGGCATGTAGAGTAAAGAGTCACGAATGGAAAATTAGTCACAGAGGCCTATTCAGGTCATTCTGTGCCAAATCGCCTCACCTATAACAGACCTTTTAGCCATACGATGATGCAAATTAATGTCAAAAGCACCATTCGGGCCTGAAGCTCCCTTTGATTTCAAAATAATTCAATAGCTGGTCTTCAGATTCGGACAATACACAGATGTAGTAGAGTTTAAAAGATTTAAGATAAATAAATGAAGTATTTTTAGCAAGTGTTTTCCTATTACGGAACTATTACAGTACGGATCTTATAAAATTATTATTTACGGATAATGAAAGATGGTTCTATATCGTTGCTGTTCAGAGAAAAACATGTATCTCCAAATTAGTTACTTTGAAGGAAAAAAACATTCTTAACTTTAATGGAAGTTAATGTAAAGAGATTTAATGTCAAGTAATTTTGGAGCATTTCTATCGGTCCACCTATCATGAAATTTTCACATGATGTAAAAGTGCTGTCCTTTAAAAATAAAAATAAAAATTGCCAAAAATGGAGATATGTGGGGAAACATTTTTGGATAGTGGCAAAATATAAGAAATAATAATCAAGCTGTGTAATTCACTTTCTTATACAAATTTACATTGTGGTACCATGTGATACAAGACATGTCATCCATGGTGTCAGGACATGTCCATTTTTTGCAAAATAACAAAAACTTGACATGTTACAACATCACACATAATAATAACCGATAATGATCAGTCATTGCTATATTTGATGAAACACAGTCGAAAAACAAGTCGGTTCTATAATATGATGTTTAATTGAAAGTTAGAAACTGGCAATCAGGGACTAATGTGAGATTTTATCTTTTAGTAGGAAAACTCCTTTTCTAAACTAGACCTCAAAGGTTTTGTGCCTCCACACAAATATTTCACCTAAAAGCTGGAACACTGCCATGGACGTTACTTCATCTCTTTTATACGGCAAATCTAAAATGTGACTGCACTGTCCATCTTAAGCAATCTGATGTGGAATAATTCCTTTGTGTCCCCATGTCCTAGCATTTTTTTCTGTGATAATATGTGATGATATGCTGTGCTGATGTAAATTTGACATTATATTTAATAATAACTGTGTGCGAGCACATAGGCTCCAGCACCCCACCGCGACCCAGAAGGATAAGCGGTTTAGAAGATGTATGTATGTATGTATGTATGTGTGCGAGCACTCCTTCATTTCCAATGTTTATCACTGTGATTTCTCTCCAATTCAAGATGTTAAACAGTACCATTAGCCTCCATGAATTGTGTGTAAGGTGAAACTTTCAGTTTCAGTCAGAGGAAAAATATGTAGGTACCATTTGGTCTTATAACGTACACCACTGATCTCACTTGAGCATCATCAAGAGCAATGATTCACATATCATGATTCATGATTTGAAGCACATTATTCATCATGGAAAAGTGGCGAAGAGCAATGAATTACACAGGTTATACTCCTAAGAATAATTTTAATGAACTGTTCTATTTTTTAATATGTTACATTATTAAAGGGGTCTACTTTTTACTCTGCTTCACTTAAGTCATTAGATCGCTTTGCTGTTGCTCACACCTGTCAATTTTATTTTTTAAAAAAAACGTTTAACTCA